AAACAAACAAATACATACATACATACATACATACATACATACATACATACATACATACATACAAAGTCAGGAGACCAGGAGAAGGACCGCTTTGTCTCCATGGCAGGACACGCCCCTACCACACCCCTATCACATCAGCCCATCCACTGGTGAGACCATGGCAACAGATACGACAAGTATCACTGTGGAGTGCATACTGTGCCCTCAGGACCATGTCCCTCATGGTTGAAATGGTCTGATGCTGGGAAGGAATAGTCACTGCTGTCTCCTACATCCAGCACTGTGCTGACCCACAGTGAGGCTTGTGAGTTTATTCAATTATAGTAACATGCTCGTGAGAGGAGCCCGAGTGGATAATATTGATAGGAAACAGTTCTGTGGGATCACAGGGCCGGTCAATCCAGATTGACTGGATCCAAGTTTGTGATCCTGGTACTCAGGAAGTTGAGCAGAAGGACCATGGTTCAAGGCTAGCCTGTGCCATGTGGTCAGGCCTTATCTGAAGAAAACAAATCCAGGTTATGGAAAAGTGGTCTTGAATTCTGGTTTGTCTTTCCTGATTTTTCTTAGACCTTAGGTTCCACTGACAAACTTTACTTATAGTAAACGTGTATTTAAACAGCAAATGGGCCAGGTGTGGTGGCACATGCCTTTTATCCCAGCACCCAGGCAGATCTACACACGTCATACATAGCAAATGGGAGTTCTGTAAGTTCAAGGCCAGCCTGATCTACACAGCAAGTTTCAGGACAGCTGGCTTCATATGGAGACTTTGTCTCAAAACAAACAAACAAACATGAGAATTGATCTTAGGAACTAAGGAGTCAGGCTGGAGAGACAGCTCCGCAGTTAAGAGCACAGGTTGAGCTGGCTATGGTGGCGCACACCTTTGATCCCAGCATTTGTGAGGCAGACAGATCTCTGTGAGTTCAAGGCCAGCCTGATCTACAGAGTGAGTTCCAGATCAGCCAGGACTGCTGCACAGAGAAACCCTGTCTTGAAAAACAAAAACAAAAACAAAAAAACCAAACAAACAAAGGAGCCCTGGCTGCCCTTCCAGAGGAAGAAGATTCAATTCTCAGCACCCACATGGTAGCTCACAACTGCTTGTAACTCCAGTTCCAAGGGATCCAACACCCCCTTCTGGTTTTCTTGGGCACTGCACACATGTGGTGCACAGATACATGCAGGCGAGATGCCCATGTGAATTAATTTTCTATTTAATTAATGTAAAAAGGACTGAGGAGTCAGCTGGTTGCTTCACCTCCCACAGCCTGCCCTATTCCTGGAGGTATTTCCCTCCATTCAGCTGTTAGGCTGCACTGGGGGAATCGTTTGGTTGATCTGCTGAAATTCAATATATGTTAGCCTCTCACATTGACCCTGGCCATGCTGGAGCCACTTCCTCACCCAGGGCAGCTGACTCGTCCCTCAACCTGGCTCTCCACGGTCAACGTGTCTCCTGGTTGCTAAATCTGGTGTGTTCTTGAGTGACATCTCAGCAGCATTTGGCCCAGCTGACCAACGTAGCTCTCAAACTTGGTCGATCCTGGTATCTGGGGCAGCTGTTCTCCTGTTCTTCCTCTTCATCTCCCTCTCTGGTCTCTCCGCTCTGCCCTCCTTAAATGTGGGCCCAACCATGTCTCTTCTGGACCCCTGTTCTCTTTGTTATGCATACTTTCTCAAGGGCCTTTCCCTCAGTAGCTTGAGGTCAGCAAGCTGGGACATGGAGCCTTGTGGTACTGGCCCTCTCAAGCTGGGACATGGAGCCCTGTTGTACTGGCCCTCTCAAGCTGGGACAGGGCACTGGTCAAGAGGCTAAGTGGAAAGCAGAGGCCGGTTTTTTTTTTTTTTTTTTTTTTTTTTTTTTTGTTGGTTTTTCGAGACAGGGTTTCTCTGTGTAGCTTTGCGCCTTTCCTGGAACTCACTTGGTAGTCCAGGCTGGCCTTGAACTCACAGAGATCCGCCTGGCTCTGCCTCCCGAGTGCTGGGATTAAAGGCGTGCGCCACCACCGCCCGGCTCAGAGGCCGGTTTTTAAAGGGAGTGGGACATACACAATTTGCAAGTTGCCTGTCTAGTTGTATCTGCTGGCCTAGTCTTCACTGTAGGCCAAGCTGGCATCCCTCTTCCTTCAACCTTCTAAGAGACAGGAGTATGGTCTTGTATAATATTAGAGGGACCAGCCTTAATATTATACATCCCAGGGGCTCAGGAGAGAGAACTACTAACGGCGAGGACTATTTTCAGGAAATAGAATCTCAGCACACTGAACTCTATAGTTCACTTGCTTTAATTCTTCTGGGATAACATCCTATTTACACAGCTTCAGTTCTGTTCTCATGCCTCGCTCCCTTCTTGCCTGATTTCTCTCTATATTTATTCACTGCTCCCTCTAAGTTCTATCTTAATTCTCTCATCTTAATTCTGCCTCATCTAGGTCCTTTACATCTTGTTCTTACCCAGCTAGTACTTCCCCATCTGACTCTTCCTCATCTTCCATCTCGTCCACCCGTTCTCTCTGGTCAAAAATCCTCCTTATCACCTCTCTGTTCTCCGTCTCTAAATTCTCCATGTTCCTCCTAAGTCTCCCAAGAATCCAGTTATAAACCCAAGCAATAGCAAGTCCAAGGTCACCAGGCTTGAATTCTACAGGGTCATAAAGGCAGGTAAGAATTTTCCTCAGGCAGTGACCACCAGGCTTTCTTTTACAATCCAAAATGGGAGTGGTAAAAGAGAAGGTGATATGAGTGCTAATGACCGGTTAGTATATCAAAAAGGGATCTATGTGCTCAGTCTACATTCCTAGAAGTGGTTAGGTAAGAAGTTAGGGGACTATTAGTAAGGTTGTATAAGAAAGGAGGGTCTCACCCTAAACTGCACAAGAAATAAAGCTATCGCCTGACCTAGGAGACAGGTGTTGTTTCATATGGCCTTGGATGCTTCATAGGCATTTTAGATAAATACACTGTTAGGAGTTCTTGGAAGCACATAAGAAAATCATTTTAGGAACCAGCTAATACATATACAAAAGCTAAAATATCCCCAAGACTCCTTAAGCCATGGCTTGACCTTTGGAGAAGTTCTTGACTTTTCCAAGTAGTAGCTTTTGTGATAGTAGCTGGAAACTACTATCCAATTATATCCAATAAACATATTCCATTATGCTGTCCTGTGGCCTGCAGCAATATGGGTGAACCACCATGTCCACCAGGCCACACTTTGGCTTGGGTTTTCAAAAGATCACTTGCTGTGGACCCCTTAGATGGTTCAGCAGGTCAAGGCACCTGTTACCAACCTTGAGGATCTTAGATAATTCTCCAGGATCCACATGGTAGAAAGAACAGACCCCCTCAGGTTGTCGCGACCTCCACACATGTGCCATGACACACAGAAACCCACCCGCTAAAATAAAAATGTACTGAATGATCACTGCCTGCTTTCTTTAGAGACTGGACTGGGAATAATGAGGGCCCATGCAGACATAGTACCTGGGAGGCCTTTGCACCCTCTGCAGGAGACAACAGCGGCTTGACAAGGATGCAGCTGCAGAGATGTCAGCCCCTGGAAAGTTGGAGAAAGGGGGGTGGTGCTGAGGAGGAGAGCTGGAGGAAGGGATGGAGGAGAGGCAAGAGGCTGGGATGCCTTCGTGGTGTCTGGCTGGGATCCAGGCTGCGGGTGCTGTTTGCAAAGACTGAACGTGAAGGAGCTGAGGGTCATGTGAGGAGCTCTGGGGACTCGCCAACCGGCACAGCCAACCGGCACAGCCACGTGATCCTGTCCGAGATCCGGCTGACAGACCGCAGGCTCCTCTGGGCCTCTCCCCCACAAATGGCTGGTCCTCCTGGGGGCTCTCCCCAACATAAGAGACCCCTAACTACTTAGGAAGGCCTGGGGCGACTATCACCGGAGGTTGATTACACAAACAGGATGCGAAGCACCATCAGGGGACATGCAGACCCAGTCACCAGCTAGGCAGGAGGCAGGCAGACTAGCAGGTACATGAGATGAAAAGGGGCTGAGAGAAGATAAAATGTTTTTAGCAGTGGTTGGGTATGAAATCCGCAGCATTTGGGAATCATATCTTTTAGGATGCATTTGCCAGTAATGAACTGTTTATTCTAATGTCAATCCTCCCCAGGAAGGAAGGTAGATTTTTGTTTGTTTGTTTTTCTTTTTCTTTTTTTTTTTTAAGATTTATTTATTATGTATACAGTGTTCCGTCTGCATGCCAGATGAGGGCACCAGATCTCATTACAGATGGTTGGAGCCACCATGTGGTTGCTGGGAATTGAACTCAGGACCTCTGGAAGAGCAGCCAGTGCTCTTAACCACTGAGCCATCTCTCCAGTCCTTGTTTGTTTTTCAAGATAGGGTCTCTCTGTGCCCTGGCTGTCCTGGAACTCACTCTGTAGACCAGGCTGGTCTGGAACTCAGAGATCCACCTGCCTCTGCCTCCTGAGTGCTGGGATTAAAGTTGTGTGCCCCCCCCCCACAATCGGCCGAAAGGTAGATTTCAAATATCAAAACAACTGTGCTGTGGGATGTTCTGTATGGCAAATGTGTTGCTAATTAGTCAATAAATAAAACACTGATTGGCCATTGGCTAGGCAGGAAGTGTAGGCGGGACAAGGAGGAGAATAAAGCTGGGAAGTGGAAGGCTGAGTCAGAGAGACACTGCCAGCCGCCACAATGAGAAACAGCATGTGAAGATGCCGGTAAGCCACAAGCCATGTGGCAAGGTATAAATTAATGGAAATGGATTAATTTAATCTGTAAGAACAGTTAGCAAGAAGCCTGCCACGGCCATACAGTTTGTAACCAATATAAGTCTCTGTGTTTACTTGGTCGGGTCTGAGCGGTTGTGGGACTGGCAGGTGACAAAGATTTGTCCTGACTGTGGGCCAGGCAGGAAAACTCTACCTACAAATGGCACCCCACGTTGGGCGCCAAATGTAGATGTATCCAACCTTCTTATTAAATAATAAACACAGAACCAATGCAAAGAAGAAAGCCAAGAGGTCAGAGCTAAGAGCTAAAACCTTACCCTTCCTCCTGCGGTGGTCCTACCTCTCCGAACCAGAGCTACCCCTGTGTTAAAGTCTTTATATAGAGTTCCTGTCCTGCCTTCTCATTGGTTGTAAACCCAACCACATGACCGCCTCCTCACAGCCTGTCTGTATAGGCCTCCAGGTTTTCCATGATTGGTATTAAGATTAAAGGCATGTGTATCCAATAATGGCTGTATCCCTGAACACACAGAGACTTACCCAGCTCTGCCTACCAAGTGCTGGAATTACAAGCGTACGCTACCACTGCCCTGCTTTCCTATGGCTTGCTAATAGCTCTGACCCCCGGGCAACTTTATTTATTAACATACAAATAATATTTTAATACAAATAAAATATCACCATACAACTGTTTTTTTTGAAGACAGGATCTGTCTATGGTCTTGGCTGTCCTCAGAGATCCATCTGCCTCTGCCTCCCAAGTCCTGACACTAAGGGCATGTGCCATCATGCCTATTTTTTTTTAAAAAACAACAACAACATTGTTGCCTGGTTGTGGCGGCACACACCTTTAATACCAGCACTCCAGAGGCAGAGGCAGGAGGGTCTCTGAGTTTGAGGCCAGCCTGGTCTACAAAGCAAGTTCCAGGGCTACATAGAGTAATCCTGTTGCAAAACAAAGAAAACCACCCCAAACAAACAAATCAAAACCCATTATTGAAAAGGAAAGAACCCAAGCTCATCAGGAGTGCTTTGGATGTGGCGAGTTCTGCCTAGAGTCTGATCCAGTCAGGAGGGCAGAGAACTAGGTCGAATGGACCAGGGCCTGCCCCTGCTCTCAGGGGATGTTCAGGTATCCACGCTCTCTCCAGACAACCTCCAAATACATCCCTAATGTGGCTGAGCACAAGGACTAGGAGATTTTTGAGCCACACATTTGACTGTATCTGACTCAGTGATGCATTCCTACCTACGTGTGACTCCAGCCTTTCTGAAATCACTCCTCCCAAACTGAACAGGTTCTGAGCACCAAAGCCTCACTAAGTAAATCAGGATTCATGACAGAATGTGATGTGGCACAGTGGCACACACCTGTGGCCCCAACTATTTGAGTCCTGAGAAAGGAAGATGACTCGAACTCTGAAGCTTAGGGCTAGCCTGAGCTACAAAGTGAGACCTAATCTCAAAAAAAAAAAAAGCAACTGCCGCGCAGTGGCGGCGCACACCTTCGATCTCAGTACTGGGGGGCGGGGGCAGAGCCAGGGGGATCTCTGTGAGTTCGAGGCCAGCCTGGTCTATAGAACGAGCTCCAGTACAGGCTCCAAAACTGAGAAACCCTGTTTGGGAAAAAAACAATAAAACAACACTTAAAAGGTCCCACAATCTTTACAAATTTAAACACTTTAAAATTCAGTTGTTTCCTTAATTCAGTCTTTTTTTAAGCCTAAAATCTCTAAAAAATTAGTCTCTCACCTGTGGGGTTCTATCAAAAATAAAATACATCCTTACTTCAAGAGGGAAGAACCAGGGCACAGTCACGACCAAATCAAAGCAAAACCAAACTCCAGCTGTGTACACAACACAATGTCCAGTGTCTGGGATCCGCTCGAGGTCTTCTGGGTTCCTCCAAAGGACAAGGGTCACTCTCTGACTCTGCCCTCTGCAGCACACACAACTTGTCTTCTAGGCTCCAGCTGGCTCCACCCCACTGCTGCTGCTGTTCTTGGTGTTATCCATGGTGCTGGCATCTCCAACATGCTGGGTCTTCTGCTGACCCCGGGCTGCACTTTCACCAATAGCCTCTTTCGGATTCTCCTCGTAGTGCCAAACCTTAGCTTCTCTACATGACCCCTTCAGTCCTGGGGCTTCAACGGCCACTGAAGCCGCACCTTCACCAATGGCCTCTCCTGGCCTCTCCCAGTGCCAAGCCTCAGCTGCTCTCCATGACACCCTCATTCCTTCAAAACCAGTACCACCTGGGTGACTCTTACACTACCAAGTTTGGGGTACAATCTTGGCTGCCTCTGGAACATAGCTTCTGTGTGCTCTCAGAAACACTTCCCAGAAGATTTCACCCCCAATGACGCTGGTCCCATCTTAATCATTGCTAATTTCTTAGCTTCAGCTGACCAGCATCAAGTGTCTCAGCAAAGCAAAGGTTTCACTTTATTGGTCTCGGTATCTTGTTAATCACAGCTGATTCTTCAGCCCCAGGTAACCAGAACCACAGAATCTTAACTCAAAGTAACAAACGGCCCTGATAGTCTCTTAACTTCCTTCTGAAACATTACAAGCCAGGCCTCCATCTTCTGTATTGCTCTCAACATTCCTACCTTTTGTTTTGTTTGGTTTTGTTTTTGGTTTTTGGAGACAGGGTTTCTCTGTGTAGCCCTGGCTGTCCTGGATCTCACTGTGTAGACCAGGCTGACTTCGAACTCACAGAGATCTGCCTGCCTCTGCCTCCCGAGTGCTGGGATTAAAGGCATGCGCCACCACTGCCCAGCTGTCCTCGGCATTCTTGTCTTCCAAGCTCCTACAGAACAGCCCAATCAAGCACTGAACCTTCAATGACTTTTCTTGGACAAAATCCAAAGTCCTTCCACAATCCTCCCCCAAACATGGTCAGGTCTGTCACAGCAATACCCCACTATCCTGGTACCAATGTACCTTAATTGGGGTTCCTATTGCTGTGATGAAACACCATGACCAAAGCAACTTTTAGAGGAAACTGTTTACAGGGCTTACACTTCCACATTGTAGTCCATCACTGAAGGAAGTCAGGACAGGAACTCAAGCAGGGCAGGAACCTGGAGGCAGGAGCTGATGCAGAGGCCATGGAGGAGTGCTGCTTACTGGCTTGCTCCTCACGGCTTGCTCAGCCTGCTTTCTTATAGAACCCAGGACCACCAGCCAGAGATGGCACCATCTAGTGCAGTGGTTCTCAACCTGTGGGTCAAGACCCATTTGGAGTTAAAGGACCCTTCCACAGGGGTTTCATATCAGATATCCTGCATATCAGATATTTATATTACAATTCATAACAGTAGCAAAATTACAGCTATGAAGTAGCAAAGAAATATTTTATGGTTGTGGTCACCATAATATGGGGAACTGTATTAAAGGGCTGCAGCACCAGGAAGGTTGAGAACCACAGCTCTGGTGCTTCCCGTATTCGTCCTAACAGCTGGTTGTCATTTCTATTCACTGAGGGATTACGTCATATTTGGCTGTCTCCCTGCTGACTAGGGCAGTGGCAATGTGTGTTTTCAGTTACCACTGTACCCCAGCATCTAGCTCAGAATTTACGAAATACTACATATTCAAGAAATGCTGCCGGGCGGTGGTGGCGCACGCCTTTAATCCCAGCACTCGGGAGGCAGAACCAGGCGGATCTCTGAGTTCGAGGCCAGCCTGGTCTACACAGTGAGATCCAGGACAGGCACCAAAACTACACAGAGAAGCTCTGTCTTGAAAAACAAAAACAAAAAACAAAAAACAGAACAGAGAGAGAGAGAGAGAGAGAGAGAGAGAGAGAGAGAGAGAGAGAGAGAGGTGCTTGTCGGGCCTGGGGCTGTGGCTCCTGTGAACGGAAAGCAGGCTTCCCAACGTTTCCCACACTGCCTCCTGTGCCTCATGAATTTCCTGATCACAATGTCCCTCTGGAATGTACCCTGTCCTCTATCCCTCACGAGCCCACCTTAGTTAAGCCTTATCATCTTTCCCCTGGACCTCTCCTCAGCATCTCAGCTGGTCTCTCTCTCCAATGGTCTTATGATGCATCCCATACCAGCATTTTAAGGAGTATTCTAAGTCGCAGAGCAATCTCTTCTTGGTCTGGCCAGGGGCTCCATATTCTCTCACATCCTAGATCCGTCATCAAGCCCTGTAGATCCACCACGGTTCAAATATGCAGCCTCACTGGGCGTCTCTCCTAGGGCTCTCCCTCTTTTGAACCATACCCCTCAAGACACACAGAGCTGCACAGACATCCAGATGGATGGCAAGGTCACGATATATTCGGATCACAGTCTGGGGAGTCTTGTCAGGCCATAAATGCAGGAAAGTGGCAGGAACTACAGAATCACTTTCAAGTCCCTACGAACAAGCTGACAGAGTGGTGACAGGGTCTCTGTCCAGCGTAGCGACGGGCCTGTGCCCAGCCGGGTTGTAATTCATGCTGGCGCTGTGAGAGAGGGCAGCCTGACCACAGACTCCCCAGCAGAGCTGAGGATTAGCAATTAACTGGAAGGAATCTTGGGGGTAAAGTTAATTTAGTGGGGGACCAGAGGGAGGGCAGCTAAAGTTCTAGAGACTTTGCCCTTGACCCGAGGGTATAAAGAGGAGGGCCTCCATTCCTCCTTAGACTTCCCCAAGCCGCTGAGCAGGAGCTGAGACTTAGAACTTCAAGGTAAGCCCAGGGCCCACGTCCTTGAACCAGCCCATCACCCCTGCTCTATGTGTTCTCTCCTCCTGCTCCCTGTGACATCCCAATCCCAGCCCAGCCTGCTTTGCCCGACTCCACCCTGAGCCCCTGCCCTGCTGTGGGACACTCTAGTCATAGCGGTACCTGTATTTGTCACAGCACCTGGTGGCCTTTTCTATTCTCTGAGAGATTACGTCATCTGCAGCTGTCTCCCTGCTAGACTTTCAACATCCCAAGGGCAGTGGCTTTTTTTAGTTAGTTTGTGCGTGTTTTCTGTTACCACTGTACCCCAGCATCTAACTCAGAACTTAGAAAATACTAAGCATTCAAGAAATGCTCGTTGGGACTGGGGATGTGGCTCGACATTGGAGTGCTTGCCTACTATGCTGAGGCCCTAGGTTCCATTTCCAGCACTGCAAGACAAAACAGCTATAAAACCGTGCTGAATGGATGAGATGACACTCGGATCTGTGACGAGCACCTCGGTGTGCATCTCTAGGTGTGTCCGAGGATAGACTCACACACCCTAGGCTGACTGTCATGTGGGTGTGGATGTGTACCAGACACAGCAATTGTCAGCTTCCTTCTAACCGCTTGACACCTAGGACTCACTGTGGGTGCCCAGCATGATGTCCTATGGAGAGAGAGTGGGGGGACCGGCTGTCTCCCCACTTCCAGTCCGCGGGAGACACGTGGTGCATGGGGCGGCCTTTGCTTATGTGCCCAGCCCACAAGGTAAGTACTATTCCCATACCGAGTCCTACTGGCCCACAGTTTCCCGCTTCCTGGTGAGGCGACTGTCCCTCTCCCTGTCTCTCCTGGGCTCCTGAGAACTTTAGGAACTTCTAATCAGCCTCCTTCCTCAGTCCTGCACAGGATTCCAGGGACATCCACCTATGCATTCTCCAGTCTGAGCCCGGTGACCCTCACAGAGCACAGCTGTCCCTATGGGGAGGTCCTGGAATGTCATGACCCACTACCTGCCAAGCTGGCCCAGGAAGAGGAGCAAAAGCCAGGTGGGCCAGGTTGGGGGGCAGCAGGGGCATGGTGGTCACTACCCTCCTACCCTGCCCACTGTCCCCCACTGTCCTCACACCTGCTCCACCTCCAGAGCCCAGGCTGCCCCAGAAGCTGCGCCAGGTTGGCACAAAGCTCCTCAAGGTACCGCTGATGCTGAGCTTCCTGTATCTCTTCGTCTGCTCCCTGGACGTGCTCAGCTCTGCCTTCCAGCTAGCCGGAGGTAGGGCCCAGGTGGAGGAGGTCAGGGGAGGGGTTCAAAAGGTCCTCAGGTGATGCTGGCTTGTGTTCTGCAGGGAAGGTGGCTGGTGATATCTTCAAGGACAATGCCATCCTGTCCAACCCAGTGGCAGGGCTGGTAGTGGGAATCCTGGTGACAGTACTGGTTCAGAGCTCCAGCACCTCAACATCCATCATTGTCAGCATGGTCTCCTCTGGCTGTGAGTTGGCCCAGCATGGCCAGGGATGGAGCCCAGGGGACTAGAGCTTCAGCACGAGGGCAGGAGTGTGGATGGGAGGTTGAGGGAAGGGAGGGGGGAATGACATGCTCCAGCATTTCCTGCTTTGTCCTCAAAAGCAGGCTAAGAGTTGAGCCAGGGTGTTCCAGGAACTGGGGAGAGTGGAAAGGAAGCGCACAGCTCCGTTCAGCCATGTAGTCACTCAGGAAAGCTAGAGAAAACCAGCCTGAAGAAAAAAAAAAAAGATCACAAAGCGGTGGTGGCGCACGCCTTTAACCCCAGCACTCAGGAGACAGAGCCAGGTGGATCTCTGTGAGTTCGAGGCCAGCCTGGGCTACAGAGTGAGAGCCAGGACAGGCACCAAAAGCTACACAGAGAAACCTTGTCTCAAAAAACAAAAACCAACAAAAAACCCCCAAAAAACAAATAAAATAAAATAAAAACAATCACAGGAGGCAGAGGCAGGGGGATCTCTGAGTTCGAGGCCAGCCTGGTCTACAGAGTGAGTTCCAGAACAGCCAGAGCTACACAGAGAAATCCTATCTTGGATTTCTAACTAACTAACTAACTAAATACTCACACACATGTGATTTATCACAAAGATTGACCTTCATGATCATGTGTCTGGGTGCTCAAGTCTGACATTGACAGGGTGTGAGCAGTTTGGAAGGGCAGGCTAGGATGCGATCAGAAACAGATCCTGTAGGCCACAGGTGAACCTTCCTCCTCCAGGAAGCTTCTGCCCCACATTGAGGCTCTTCTATCCCATTGGATGAGGCCTGCCCAGACCATCAAGAACAATCTTCTTTACCTGGGGCTAGGGAGTCTCTGGGTAAGAGTGCTTGCTACAGGTGTGAAGGCCTGGCTTTGAATTTCCAGAGCTCACACAAGAGGCTGGGCATGGCTGCATACACCCCAGTGCTGGGGGCAGGGGCAGAATTGCTGGGGCTTCCAGCTGCCACCTAGCTCCAGGTTCAGCAAGAGATGCTGTCGTGTGGTAATACAGTAGAGGGTGGTAGAGCAGGATGCCTGAGTTCTTCTGGCCTCCACCTTTTCGTACACACACACACACACACACACACACACACACACACACACACACACAGAGAGAGAGAGAGAGAGAGAGAGAGAGAGAGAGAGAGAGAGAGAGAGAATAATCTCTTTTACTTAAAGTCAGTTGGGTGCCACAGGCTAGCCAAGTTAACACATAAAACCAACCACCACGCTTGTGTGAGGTACACCCACCCGCACAAGCACAAAATGTGGATTGCACAAGGTGTGAGTTCTTATAGTACACTCCCATGCACGTGTTCAACCTGAATAGTGAGTAGGTACACCCTGTATGGTGTGTGTTCATCATGTCACATGTGGATATGCTCACACACGTGTAAATACACAGCTCATGTACACATGGACCTGTGAGGCTGAATCTAGGAAATCACGAGTGTACTTGGAAAAGGCTGACTGGTGCTAGGACCCAAGTCATGGGCCTGGTAGGAGTTACTGTAGGGCAGAGCCTTATGGCCACAACCCAACCATTTGAGAGGTCCCTCTTCTACCAGTGTTGGAGGTGAGCTCTGCCATTCCGATCATCATGGGCTCCAACATTGGAACCTCGGTCACCAACACCATCGTGGCCCTAATGCAGGCAGGGGACAGGACTGACTTCCGGCGGTGAGCTGGGGAAGGGGGTGGGGGCTCGCGCTTTTTGGGGAGAAGGCAGAACTGGGTGCCAGGACCCAGCGTGGGCATACCTTGAGTCCAGCTGTCCTGCAATATGGCGTCCCTGCTCAGGGCTTTTGCAGGGGCCACAGTGCACGACTGCTTTAACTGGCTGTCTGTTCTGGTCCTGCTGCCCCTGGAGGTTGCCACGGGCTACCTGCATCACGTCACCGGACTCGTGGTTGCCTCCTTCAACATTCATGGTGGCCAAGATGCTCCTGACCTTCTCAAGGTCATCACAGAACCCTTCACAAAGCTCATCATCCAGGTGAGGGCAGGACCTGCCGTGGGCTGGACAGATGCAGGATAGTAAGTGGCCCTACCTTCACCTCTCTGTGTCATCTTGCTCACAGCTGGACAAGTCTGTCATCACCAGCATTGCCGTGGGGGATGAGTCCCTGAGGAATCATAGTCTCATCCGGATTTGGTGCCACCCAGACCCACCAAAGGTGAGTTCCAGAGCCAAGCCTAGGTAAGATGACACTCTCTTTGACAATTAACTGTTCGTTCCATAGACCTTGGAAATTGTTTAGCTCAGGAAGAGCAGATAACATGGAATTTTCTGTGTCAGTATACCCAGGGCAAACATTGGTAATCCCTCCTAACTGCACACACTGCTTTAGGCAAATATCATCTGTACATTAATATTGGCATGTAATTGATCTGGCCCAGTGGTCTTCTTTCCCTCTTCTCTGCCTTTCTTTCTTTCTTTCTTTTTTCTTATTTTCTCTCTTTTCTTTTCTTGTTGTTTTGTTTTCTTTTCAAGACAGGGTTTCTCTGTGTAGCCCTGGCTGTCCTGGAACTCACTCTGTAGACTAGGCTGGCCTTGAACTCACAGAGATCTGCCTGTCTCTGCCTCCTGAGTACTGGGATTAAAGGCATGTGCCATCACTAGCCCCAGCTTGGCCCAGTGGTTTTCAAAGAGCTGTTGTTCCCCAGATTAACAGCATCAATACTACCTGGGAACCTATTAAAAATGTAAACAATACAGTCTAGAAGAAAATCCACTGCATAATATATATACATCCTTCCTAGACCAATTGAATCAGAAAAAAATCTCTGGGCATGGGCCCAGGTGCCTAGTCTCCAATTTGCCATCCAACTTTGTTCCTTGCTCAAGTTTGGAAACCATGGATTAAGCTCAACTCTCTGGTTTCACAGATACACAGGCTCAAAGAGGCTCAGAAACTTGCCTGGGACTCCCAGGCCACAGGGACACTCGGGGCTAGTCACTCAGCTCTGCCATGCTTGGGGCTTGAGCAACTTAGAGAGGGACAGGGAGAGAATGTTGCAAGGATGTTGAGAAACTTAGACCCCAGAATTCCGGCTGTCGTCACGCTGGGTGGCTGTCACGCTGGGTGGCTGTCACTCATGCTGGCAGGGATCTCTTTCACGAGGAGCCATGCGTCCCTTGTCCTTCTCCACTGTTTCTGCTCCTTTTACTGCCCAGAATGAAAAGCTGCTCGGATTGGTTGGACATTCGTGGATCAGCCATTATGCCTATGGTACAAGGCATAATAGCAAGGCGATCAGGAACAAAGGAGTAGGCAATTAGCATACTTTCTTATTCAGCCATAAAAGGGAAAATGCTCCATCCAAACTGTAATCTTCCAAATTTGCTTCTCCTTAATTATTACATACAAGAAATAACTCCACTTTAAAAAGCTACAGGGAAATCCAAAGTGTACAGCAGAGGCACGAGCCCACCCCCCACCTCCCCTCCTCTCGCTGATGGCTGTTCCTGTACCAGCACCCATAGAAAACACTCCATCAACTCGCCCTGTGATGTTCCCTTGCATTCCAAGTGGCACACAGCTCCAGCCATGCTCTTCTGGGAGTTCAAGGCAGCTTGAAAACAAAAAGCCCACGTGGACCGCTTTGATGCTGGCTTTGTGACCTGCCTAACACGTCAGCCACCTTCTCATGAGCTCCCTGGCACTTTCAGGGAAGCTCTGTGAGTCATTGCAGCCTCAGAAAGCACACTGTGGGTAGAAGACAAATCACATACTGATCTAAAAAAAAAAAAAAAAAAAAAAAAAGCCATGGAGAGATTTCCGGCCTGACGTCTGGCTTGGGCAAGTCTCTACCTGTACCCTGAACCTCCTCACCTACTGTAGTCCTGGGGCAAGACCCGCCAGGTGGACCGTTTTACACAAATGGAAACTGAAGCTCGGCGATGTGAAGTAACTGCCATGTTCCCTCAGCCGGGCCTGTCTTCCGGCTCTTTGCTGTTCCAGCTGCCACTTGCCAGAGCACCGTTTCAGTCCCCACGCTAGCAGGAAATCTCTTTCTGTAACAGCAGGTCATATTTCTTGGCTTGGAATGTAAAGTCGGATCTGAGCCCCCTGCTCTCTGCCTCCCTCTAGACCTGACCCTGCAGGAATGTGGCTCACACAGCTGCTTCGTGGGCTCTTGGCTGTGCTTTGGCGGCTCTTCCTTTACTAGCCTCCTCGACCCTGGCCTCAAAGTTTCTGATTTTTGTTTTTTATTACCCATGGCCTCCAGCCTTCACCATACTGGGACCGAGCATTGGTTAAACCAGTCTCCAGGGGACCCGTGCCACCCAGGACAGGATGGGAGCTTTCCTGATGGGGAAAGGACAGGCCATTTTGGTGTTTGAGACTTCTGGATGGTCAGGGACCTGGCATTGTCCTTGAAATTCCCTTCCCGTGAGTCACATTTGTGAACTGACAACTGTACCTGCCTGATTTAAACAGCATCTTTGGAGGACAGGCGACTGGGGACGCTGTTACTACACCCCCGTTCTGCAGACGGGAAACAGCCTCACTCAGAGAGGCACACAGGCTTCCTGTGTTATTGGTTCCTATAATGGAGGAAGGTCTCCAACCTCATGGAATCCTCACTCCTCAGTCGGAGCATCTCCCGGATGCTGCTCTAAAGTACCCCCATCTGCATCTGTTTTGCTTTCTGTCCGTGGTGCCACCCTGGACCCCTTCAGGGCCGATGGACTGGAGATGCCTGAGAAGTTCTCCTTTTAGCCACCAGATGGTGCTGCTGGCCCAGGGTGCTTCTGTTTCCAGAAGAACAAAGGCCCCACAGCTACCATACCCCAGAGGGGAAGCTATTGTGCAAGCCCACATCCTCCGTGGTTCTTTCTCTCCTGAGGAAGGACTCTTGAAGTACCGCAGTCCTCCGTGAACTTAATCATGCCCTTCAGTTCCCAGAAGTGTCTCAATCCAGGGTGTCCCTGCAGACTTGTAAACACCAACTCTCTTCCAAGACGCTTCCAACCAGCCTGTGGGGAGAAGGCAGCATAGGGACTGCACGTTATGGAGCCGACAGAAGCCCAGAGAGCTTCAATGTGTGACTCCAGCCACATAGTTGAGAATAACTCAGCTACAGTGTGAGCCCAGGACTACCGAACTCACGTTTGTTGTTTTCCTTTAACATTTCCCCAGTCCCTTTCTATCCCTCCACTCCACCCCAGAGAAGGTGGACACGTCTTGGGAACACGGCCAGATCTGGGCCTCTGAGCTCTACTAACTAGGCCATGGTTCCGACCCTGTCCTTTGCCCTGAAGATCTCCTCGGAGGGTTTTCTCTCCCTCCATTCCTTCCTGGCCTGCTTTACAGTGGGCACTCTCTGTCACTCCTGCTCTCTCTAATTCCCTTCTGCACAGTCCCTGGCTTCCCTTCTGTGCTCAGTTAAGGCCACACAACCCCAGGCAGAAAAAGTCAAGGTTCCAGACCCCCATAGAAGGGTGGAGAGCGCAGCTCAGTAATGGAAGCATGTGATTAGCATGTGTGAGGTCTGGGTTCAAGGTTCAGTCCCCAGCACCAAACATACAAATAACACTCCAGATATCTCAGCTCTCAGCCTTGTCCTGCCCCTGACTCAGTCTATCCTAAGGTGGGAATTATGCCAGGCTCCTCATCCTCTTCTGGCCTCTATATGACCCACAAATCCCCTCCCTAGGAGGCGCCAGGATGCAGCTCAGAAAAAGCCAGGGAGGCACACACGTATCTGAGGAGGTCATCTGCTTCCTAGAGCTTCCGACTGGGGACCTCCCAGAAAGTCCACCAAATTCCTCCCCCAAAGTGCCAGTATCCACAGGCATGTCTGCAGGACTCACTGCTCATGACCTAGGAGGTTAGTCATGTACCATGTGGGATGCCCAGTAAGACAGGGAGAGAGATGATCTGTCCCTTATCTGGAGGCTATGGTAAGGCAGACCCTGAGGTGAGGAGTTGATGCATATTTTCTTCTTTGACCTTTATGTTTTTATTATTCCAATTTTTTCCCAAATATTTATTTTTATTTTATGTGCATTGGTGTTTTGCCTGCATGCATGTCTGTGTGAGGTACCAGATCCCCTGGAGCTGGAGTCACAGATATGTGTGAGCTATCTGAGTGCCGGGAATTGAACTTGGGTCCTCTGGAAGAGCACCTTGTGCATCATAACCATTGAGCCATCTCTCCAACCCCCTATGATGCCGCTGTAAACAGGCTCAGAGAGGTGACTTGACTAGCCCCAGATACATATGGTATAAAAAGCAGGATTTGAACTCAACAAATACCTGACTCCCTCAACTAAACCCCGTTCTCTCCTTTACCAGATCAAAAGTCACCCTCACTTCATTAACCTGGTTTTGTTTCTTTTCTTTTTTAAAATTTATTTATTTTTATTATATGTGCATTGGTGTTTTGCCTGCATGTACGTCTGTGTGAGGTGTCAGATCTTGGAGTTACAGACAGTCGTGAGCTGCTATGTGGGTGCTGAGAATTGAACCCGAGTCCTCTGCAAGAGTTTTTGTTTCTTGTTAATTTGTTTTATTCTTGAGACAATATTTCACCCTAGTACATGCTGGCCTTAAATTCACGGTAATCCCCCTGCCTCAGCTTCCCAAGTGTCCATCTGGATTTCTGCCCTATCAGATGATTCTATCCTAATTTCCCGCCTAGAGTCCAGGCCTCCAGGCTTGATGGCACCCCAGGCCTAGATTTAGTGACCTGGGAATAACAGCTGAGCACATTGCCCTGCTCAAGGGAGCACATCTCACCAGCACGCATCCTGATGTTAAAACCAGCTTCCTGAAACAGACGCTATCAGCATCACACTCTGGGTTTGGTTTTGCTTGTTTGGGGTGCTGCTCATGTGGACAAGGGGCTGTACCACTGGCCTGAGCCCCAGCCTGACATACATTCTCTAAACGACACATGGTTGAGGACAGAACCTAAAGCCATCACACTGTCAGCACCCCGCCTGAACCCACCCTCAGCTTCTCCACAGCCACGCCCACTCTGCTTCCTCCCGTGGTTCCCCTGCACCAGCCCAAAGAGTAAGGAATCTGGGTTTCCTTTTCAGCAACTCCTAGTCCAATGAAGCTACAGATTGATAATCTACAGACCAAAGGAATGTTTCTGCTGGCCTGGGAACCAAGTTCCTAGAACTTGAAAATGTGTCTCTTTAGGCCTAGAGACACAGGCCTGTGAATTCCAAGTACTTGGGAGGCTGAGGCAGGAGGATGGCAAGTCCAAGGCTTACCCAGACAATTTAGTGAGACCCCGTCTCAAAATGAAATGAGCACTTGGAATGTAGTTCAGTGGTGGATTTTTGCATAATATTCGTGAGTGTCTAAGATCAATCAATATGAAAAAAAAATTCTCCGAGTATAGCTACAACATGCACAGGGATTGGAGATTTTTACCTAAAACCCCAGAATTGTGGTTTCTCCTATAGAACTGGGCAGCTGGGCCGCACTGGGATGTATGACAGGGTTGTCACTGGTTGGTGACAGGGGTCTGGAGCTAGATAACTGCCATCTCTACAGATTCTCCATCTGTGCATGCAGCTTGGCTCATAAGTCATGTCACCTGCCTGACCTCTCACCCCCTTGATCTGGGAGCTTGACCAGAAACACTCCCCTCCCCCCGCTGCTTTACTCACAGTAGGTCCAGAAAGAAGAAATGGTGAGGGATAGACTCTGCCGTCACCCCCTCTCCTTCCACTTGGATCCCCCCAAGGGCAAGGAATTGAGTCAAGGCGGAGTGGAGCTTGGGCTAAGTGAGCTTTGGGGGGATCATGGGGCAGGTACTGAGGAACTGGTAAGAACAGATGGGGATAGATGCCACTGAGAGGTGGGGAGCCAAGACCAGGAGCTACTACTACTCTGGTGATTGGGGGTCCCCACTGGTCCCAGGGGCTGCCAGGTCAGGGGAGTGATGGGGTAGAATATATACAAGGTCGCCGGGCGGTGGTGGCGCACGCCTTTAATCTCAGCACTCGGGAGGCAGAGCCAGGCGGATCTCTGTGAGTTCGAGGCCAGCCTGGTCTCCAAAGCGAGTTCCAGGAAAGGCGCAAAGCTACACAGAGAAACCCTGTCTCGAAAAACCAAAAAAAAAAAAAAAAAAAAAAAAAGAATATATATACAAGGTCACATTCTTACCACATTCCAGAGTGGTGAGGATTTCAACATCATCTTTTCTCCAGAGGAGATGAGCTCAGAGCGGGCATGCAGCACGCTCCTGATCTCAGAGTCCAAGTGCATTTCCAGTCCCCCATCGCTCCCAACCTCCCTCTTAGCTCCACCCCAGGCTGTGCTTTCAAGATTCTCTAAGTCACTTTATTCTGAATTTAGGCTCCCACTTCTATGTCCAGGACAGAGGCCAACATCAGCCTTTCAAATACCACCATGGAGAAATGTACGTATCTACACGGGAGGTGTCCCACGTGGCAGGGGCACAGGGAGCTATCCCCCGGCTGTCTACTGTGTCCAGTCCCGGGAAAGAAGCTGACTTCAGGGCTTAGTCGCTGCTGTGGAGGCTAAAGGAACTTGATGTGGAGTCAAGCTCGAAGCCCGGCGGGGTGGCAAAGGTGGGAAGCGGGTGTAGCGGTGAACACTCAACAGCCTGACGCCACCCTTTCAGGCAACCATATCTTCGTGGACACGGGGCTGCCTGACTTGGCTGTGGGGCTCATCCTGCTGGCTGGCTCCCTGGCGGTCCTGTGCAGCTGTCTCATTCTCCTCGTCAAGATGCTCAACTCTCTGCTCAAGGGCCAAGTGGCCAATGTCATCCAGAAGGTCATCAATACGGGTGAGCTGGGGGAAGGCTGCAGACTAAGGTGGGGCCCAGATGAGGTCTTTCAGGTGTTGTTAAATCCACCGCTATTGTCTTTGAGCCTCAGTTTCCCCGAGGTGAATCAAGAAGGGGTGGGACCAGGTCATCTTGGAGGCTCCTGAGATGCTGACAGCCAGAAACTGGGACTGTTTCTAGCAGATGGGTATCCTTAGAAGCCACTGTTTTGTTTGTTCTGGATTTTTGTTTTGTTTTGTTTTTTAGACAGGGTTTCTCTGTGTAGTTTTGGTGCCTGTCCTGGAACTCGCTCTGTAGACAAGGCTGGCCTCAAACTCACAGACATCCGCCTGGCTCTGCCTCCCAAGTGTTGGGATTAAAGGTGTGCGCCAGCATTGCCCGGCTGTTCTGGATTTTTTGTTTTGTTTTGTTTGTTTTTTGACTGGATTTTTTCTTTAAGACATGGTCTCATGTAGCCCATGATGCCCTAGACCTTGCCATGTGACCTAGGCTGTCCAAGGACTTATGATGTTCTTGCTTTGACTTCTCAAGTGCTGGGATTACAGCTATGCATGACCAAGTCTAGCTAAAAGCCTGTGTTTAACCGACAAATGGACATTAAGCCCTTACTGTGTACCATGGGGTACAGGAGTAAGGCAAGCAGAGATGGATCCTGGTCCCAGGATCTCAGAATTGTGATTTCCTCATAGAACCAGGCAACTGGGCCATGCTGGGCTGTGTCCCAAATGGTGACAGTGCTGTAGAGCTAAGTAACTATTATCCCATAGGCCTACCACTTCCTCATGCAACCTGAGTGGGCCCATCATTTCAGTCCCCAAACAAACCTGTGTCTGTCTGAGCCTTCCTCAGGGAGCCCCTTACTTTATTCCCAGTAGATGAGAAAGGAAGGAATAAATTTGAAGATAGGGCAAGGTAACTGCCAAGGAGACAGAAAAACAGCAATAGGACAGAATACAGAAGAGACTGTTTCTATGGGTGGTCAGAGGTCTCTCTGAGGAGGAGGCACCTGAGCAAGCAGAGACCTGTATAAGGAGCCAAATTCGGAAAAGGGACTGGATGTGGTGGCACCTGCCTGTCATCCCAGAAGTACAGGCAGAAGGATTTTGAGACTAGCTTAGGCTCTACAGAGATGAGGTTTCTTTGTGTAGCCCTGGCTGTCTTGAACTCACTCTGTAGATCATGCTGGACTTGAACTCACAGAGATCTGCCAGCCTCTGCCTCCCACATACTGGGATTAAAGGTATGAGCCACCACTACCCAGCAACTTATTTTGAGGGGAGTTGTCTCATTATGTACTCTTAGCTAGCCTGGAACTTGCTATGTAGATCAGCCTGGCCTTGAACTCAGAAATTCGCTTGTCTCTGCCTCTGAGTGCTGGGATTAAAATCATGCGTCATCAAGCTCTATCAAAATAAACTTAGAGGAGGGCTGGAGAATGACTCAGTTGGTTCTGTGTTTGTCCTGCAAGCCTGAGAACCTGAGTTGTATCTCCACAACCTACGTAAAAAGCCAGAGGTGGGATGCATGCCTGTACCACCAGTGCCGTGAGGCAGAGACAGGGGATCCCCGTATGGCCAGCCAGCCAGCCAAGCACTTGATAAGCGCTAGTGAGAGACCTTGTCTCAAAAGAAAGACAGAGATAAAGACACCCCAAATCGAGCTCTGGCTTCCACACAGAGAAACAATAAACGCTGATGAAAGCCGATGTGATGGCTCATAACTGTAACCCCTGTACTTTGAAGGCTGAGGCAGGAGCATTAATGGGAGCTTGAGGAAAACCTGGACTATATACAGAGTGAGACTTTCTCACTGCTACCCTCCCCACAAAGTCCTCCACATTAAAACAAGCAGTACATGGATAGAATGTTGCTCAATGGTGAAGCATTTGCCCAGCATACTTGAGGCTCAGGGGTCTATCACCAACACTGATCATAAGAGAAACTTATGCAGATGAAGGGCATTCTGGGTGAGAGGACCAGCAAGTTCAAAGCCAGGAGACCGTAGCAATCACAGCAGGTTTGGGATGGAGAGGGGTCGCTGGCAGCACCTTGAGAGGGCCAGACCAAGGCTAGTACTGCAGAGATACAGCAGCTTTAGGGGCCTCTGGACTCCGCTCAGAGCCTCTGCTTTACTGATGGACGCATCTGCAGGATTTGGGGCAGAGGGATGGCATCATTTAACTTTCATTTTAAACTACAGTTTGGGCTTTTGAGTTACTGCACCGGCACTGTGGAGTCCCACATGACAGATGTGGGGATTAGGGAGGCCCATGAGTCTCAGGAGTAGGAAAAGCCAGGGAGGTCAGGAAGGGCTTTCTAGCAAGGAGGTGACTCCTGGGGGCGGGGGAGTGGATACAGTTGACACCCTCCATCTGTGGGATCCTGATCTGCAGATTCAGTCAGTCATGGATCAAAAACATCTCAGAAAAATAATTGCATCCGTCTTGAAACAGAATTTTGTATTTTTTCTTGAATACAGCATAACAAATATTTACAATTTTACAATGGTTTTGTTTGTTTGCTTGTTTTGTTGTTTTGAGACAGAGTCTCACAATTCAGCCCTGGCTGGTATGGAACTCACTATGTAGAGCAGGCTGGCCTCAAACTCATAGAGATCCACCTATGATTGTTTTATATACAAAACAATCACTTTTTTCTGTGTGTTTGGGTGTGTGCACATGTGCACACCAGGGCACATGGAGGGTCAGATGACAATTTGCATGAGTTGTCTCTCCTTCTACCACGTATATCCCAAGGACTGACCTCAGGTCGTGAGGCTTAGAGACAAGAGCCTTTTTCCACTCGGCCATCTCGGCAGTCATGGCCTTTACTTATATTCGGTATGATAAATCATCTTAGATGTGACAAAGCATGCCGCAGCGTGAGGACTGGCCCTAGGCAGATGCTTGACGATATTGTAGGAGCACACTTAGATGTTGGTGTCCATGGCCTCCTTGACCGAATCCCCATGGATTTAGATACTACTGTATTATGGGCAGAACCTAGGGTAAAGGCACAGCAGAGTGCAATAGCCTGAGTAAGAAAGTGTTTTGGTCACAAGAGCAAGCCAGGCAAATGGAAGCTGTTAAGGGCAAGCAGGGGACCAGCTAGCTTCTCACAGGGCAACTACCACCTAAGGACCTCCTCGAAGAGCAAGTGCCTGCTCTCCCAAGGCCTCTCACTGACGTGGCTTACTGTGGACTTGGGTTCTTTTCAGACTTCCCAGCGCCCTTCACCTGGGTCACGGGCTACTTTGCCATGGTCGTGGGTGCCAGCATGACCTTTGTGGTCCAGAGCAGCTCTGTGTTCACCTCAGCCATCACCCCACTCATTGGTGAGTGCCCGCGTCCAGCAATGGGCAGCGGTGTGTGTGTGTGTGTGTGTGTGTGTGTGTGTGTGTGTGTGCTCAGGAGGGAGCTAGAAAAGAATGACATATTCCCTGCCCACCAGGCCTGGGTGTGATCAGCATTGAGCGTGCCTACCCTCTCACACTGGGCTCCAACATTGGCACTACCACAACAGCCATCCTGGCAGCACTGGCCAGCCCCAAGGAGAAGCTATCAAGCTCCTTTCAGGTACATGGGGGAGAACGGGCTGTCCGTAGTAGAAGGCTGGGGTATAGGTCCAATGAGGGATGTGGCAGCATATAACCAACGTCAATCGCCTGCGAAGGTCACCTACTCCTCCCACTGGAAGGCACTATGGACAGAGTAGACTTAACTCCACTCTCCAGACCTTGGTGTCTAGTGGTGAGCCACTGCTGTGCTGTATCAGTAAACAGGAGCAAGTCAGGGTCACACTGTGACAGGCAATGTGCTGTCGGAGAGGCCTGGCCCAGTCTGGGGGCATCAAGGACGCATGGAATTGGGGGTGGTAAGCAGATGGCAAAGGGGGGATTGGTCTAGAAGCAGAACAGCCGACAAGATGCCGACCAGTTAAAAGCCCAGACTTTTTAAATGGCTGCTGGTCAGGCACGGTAGTAGATGCCTGGAATCCCCAGCGCTTGGCAGGAAAACCACCAAAGACTCAAGGTCAGCCTGGTCCGCATAGTCAGAAAACCAGATCGTTGCTGCTGGGCTGTAGCTGAGGAACTCATGAGAGAGCGGTCAGAAGGCCACAGGTGGAGCATTCAGGGCCGTTGTCATTTAGCAAGTAGTCCAGCAACACAGTATTTTAATAGTCAGTCTGGAGTGATCTGGAGTCACATCATCCTGAGGAGGTTTTTCTTGCTACCCTGAGCATATGGGGCCTCTGTTATAGCCCTGCCAGGTTCACGTGGGAGAGTGTCCTCACCTCGGCCCCTCTGCATTCTCCTCTGCAGATCGCCCTCTGCCACTTCTTCTTCAACATCTCGGGCATCTTGCTGTGGTACCCGCTGCCCTGCACACGCCTGCCCATCCGCATGGCCAAGGCACTGGGCAAACGCACCGCCAAGTACCGCTGGTTTGCCGTCCTCTACCTCCTCGTGTGCTTCCTGCTTTTGCCTTCCCTGGTGTTTGGCATTTCCATGGCAGGCTGGCAGGCCATGGTCGGTGTGGGCGCACCCTTCGGGGCCCTGCTGGCCTTTGTGGTGCTTGTGAATGTCCTGCAGAGCCGAAGTCCTGGGCACCTACCCAAGTGGCTGCAGACATGGGACTTCCTGCCCCGATGGATGCACTCTTTGCAGCCCCTGGACGGCCTTATCACACGAGCCACCTTGTGCTACGCCAGGCCTGAGCCCCGCTCACCCCAACTTCCCCCTAGAGTCTTCCTGGAGGAGCTTCCCCCTGCCACGCCCTCTCCTCGCCTTGCCCTGCCTGCTCACCACAATGCCACCCGTCTCTAGGCTGCAGGCCTGGACTACTGCCTGGACCAGGGAACAGTGCTTTTATGGAGCCCACAGTCAAAGGACAGAGGAGTGTGTGTGCACGTGTGTAGAGGCACATCAGTTGAGATTCATGATTTTGTGCCCCCTTTGGGTCTCCATCCGTATACAGGGCCATAGTGATGTGGGCTTTTGTAAGTAAGAGGCAGTGTGCACAAGCACACATGTTAGATGGTGAGTCTGTGTGACCATCAGTATAGGTATAGTCCACATGTGTGCATTGTGTGTCAACCCATGCACATGTACAGACAAACCTACATACAAAGTGTGTGTATATATACATACACACAGGAGGCTGTGCACAAGGTGCAGACTATCTGGTCATGAGTTTGGTTGTTTGGAGATACAAGACCTGAGCTTGTGTCCTTGTGTACACAAGATTGTTACAAGTAAAGGTGGCCCTGGAGCAATGACTCTGTAGTTGTTTGCTTGTGCTCAGATGTGAGTGTCTGAGTCACTGACTGAATTCTACCCGCTCTCTGCCACCTTCTTCCCCATGCCACCGTCCTCATCCTCACCAAGGCTTCAGCACCACCGCTATGATCTCTTTTCCCAGCCCTTCTTGATGGAAACCAGAAAGGGATTAAGCTCTCATTATTTGGGAATACTTTTGTTTTGTATCTATAAGCAAAGAGAAGATCAAGACAGGAATCAGCTAAAACATCTTCCCTCAAACGCTCCTGGACTAACAGACTTCAATCCACATGCTTAGAGTCCGCCTGGCCCTGCCTGCATGAGCCTAATCCATAATTAAAGCTCCCACAGGTCTCTCCTAGAGTCTGGAGGCATCTGAATCTGCACCTCCACATCCTGGTATCCCTTGTTCTGTAAACCCACCCATCTCAACCCTATATTCATTCTCCTGAAGATTAGTGCTCCAGAATGAGTGACCAGTGGAGACCACTGGTAAAGGGGCCAGGATGGTAACTGTGGGCAAGAGAGGCCTTGCCCTGGTCACAGAGGGCAGAGAACAGATCCTCCCTCCCACCTCTGCCCTGTGCCTTTGGGGAATAAGCCAGGCTTTGCAGTTCTGCCTCCTCCACAGAGCGCCCCGGAGCTGAGGCTTGCAGAGTGAGGGTCAATGGGGGAGGCTTCCACATTTCTTCCCTGTAGTCTAAGGATTTCTGTGTGGGCTTTGGGTCTCAAAGGAAAAGGAAGACTGGAGAGTCAGACCCACTTGCGATGGTAATTCACATGTCCTTTCTGTGGACCCACCTTGGAGGTCTCTGTGTGTGATGGGGATGCAGACACCTGGGGCCTTGGGCTTTTCCAGGAGCAGTCAGCCTCTTCCTGTCACCTATTCACAAAACATGCACCAAGTGGAGGGGCCGAAATACAGCTAGCCCCCCAACACACGTGGTTTACCTCTGCCGATTCTGCCAACTGCTGACAGAAAACTGATCATCAGCATTCCTTACCCATACCGCATAGTAACTATTTATGTGGCTTTTACACACTGTATTGGGTATATAAGTCACCAGGGGCTGCAGGTAGATTCTTGGCAAACACTGTCATTTTATACAAGAGACTGAGTAGCCACAGGAGGCTGGAGCCAATCTTCAACATACTGAGGGCCACTCACCTCCATCCTGAAACCCCACAGACCTTGGCTGATGTGTGCTGGGGAGGGAGGTGGGTGGGAATGAGGTAGCTCACTTTTTTGCCTACATGTGTGGAAAATGCTAAAGCCTGAGGTAAAACTGGAGAGTCTGCTACCCCAGTACTCTTTCTCAGCTATGGTGTGTCTAGGGCCCTGGGAAAGTACCAGAGCTCTCAGACCAAAGGCCTCCACAAGGCATCCACCACAAGAGGAGTGGGCAGGTCACAGGAGGCCTGGAAGCCCAGCAGGATTATTCTGTTCTCCAAGAATCTCCCCATAGACTAGTGTCCTTGTTCGGAACTCCTCGAACATGCACAAAGAGGATAAGCCCGCAGCGCTCCATTCGCGGTTTATTCTGGTCCCCCTACCACCGAGGGTGGCCTGGCTGTTCTGCTAGGAGCACTGTGCCCGCAGCCCACCAATCAGGTCGTGCACTGTCTTGTTAAGGATGCCTCCATGCACGCCTCGTCTGCCCATGAGCACCAGGAGCGCCCGTGGCGTGTGGCCCACGCAAATTGCACGCCCATCCAGCCCCTTGGTGCGTGCATCCAGTACGCCTTCGCCCTCGGCCAGCAAGTAGTCACGTATAACGCAGCAGCGGCGGCCGGCCACGCTCAGACCGGTCTGCAGAAAGGTGTGCCGGTCTGGCCCGGTGAGCACACCCACCTCCTGCGGGGAGATGGCCGCCAGCAGACCCCCGGGCCGTGATGCCCATACACAGCGGTTGTCTGAGTGGCCCACGATGGCCACATCGTCGATGCGCTGGTCCCGCAGCACCGCACTAATGTAGCCCTTCCAGTCACCCATCTCTGCTCAGAGTCCGCACCTATACCCTTAGCTTGCGCTAGAGGGGGTGGCCCGCAGCGCCAAGAGCTATGAACCCTGCTCTACTCCGTGGAAGTTCGCAGGGTGGGCTGTGACGTGAGGCGAACGTCACAGAACATCTTTCTAGGTGGAGAATGTGAGGGCGTTGGGGAGGGCAATTCTAAAAGTAGCATGTAGGAGGAAATGGAAGAAGGTGGTGGGTGAGGGGTTGGAGAGATGGCTCAGCGATAAGAAAGAGCACTTACTGCTCTTACAGAGGACCCAAGTTCAGTTCCCAACACCTCTGTTGGCATGCAAGGCCTGCAACTCCCACTCGAGAGATCTAACAACTCTGGCCTCCCTGGGCAAGCTCAAACACACAGACACAAATTGAACTTAAAAAATGAGCTGGGCGGGGTAGTGCACGCCTTTAATCCCAGCACTTTAATTCCGGGCTGAGGCAGGCAAATCTCTGTGAGTTTGAAGCCAGCCTGGTCTACAAAGCGAGTTCCAGGACGGCTAGCGCTACACAGAGGAACTCTGTTTCGAAAAACCAACAGAAAAGGACTGGTAGAAGAGCACGAACTGTTTTCCACAGAGGACAGAGTACAGTTCCCAGCACCGAGGGAAAGCAGCTCACTGCTGCCCCTGCTGGTGTCCTTGGGCACCTGCACTCATAGCCACAGAAAAACACAACTAAAAATCTTGGAGGCAGAGGCAGGTGATTCTGTGAGTTTGAGTCCAGCTTGGTCTACAAAGCAAGTTTTAGGGCAGCCAAGGCTGTTACACAGAAAAAGCCTATCTCAAAAACCACACACACACACACACACACACACACACACACACACAAATCTTGAAATTATACCTTTTTTTTTTTTTTTTTTTTTTTTTTTTGGTTTTTTGAGACAGGGTTTCTCTGTGTAGCTTTGCGCCTTTCCTGGAACTGACTTGGTAGCCCAGGCTGGCCTCGAACTCACAGATCCTCCTGGCTCTGCCTCCCGAGTGCTGGGATTAAAGGCGTGCACCACCACCGCCCAGAAACTTTTTTAATTATTACAAAAATGGTTCACAAGGTAAAGGTGCTTTGCTCTGTAATCCTGGTAGCCTGAGCTTCATCCCTGGGACCCATATAAAGGCAGAAGGAGAAACCTACTCCACAAAGTTGTCCCCGACCTCCACACAGCACTGTGACACATTCACCCACACAAACACATTGCACTTACACAAACCACGAATTGCTTCCTTAATTTTAAAAAGCCAGAAGACATGGTGGCACACACTTAATCCCAGGATTCAGGAGGCAGAGGCAAATGGATCTCTGTAAGTTCAAGCCAGCCTACTCTACATAGCACGTCCCAGGCCAGCTAAGAGCTAGATAGTAAGATCCTGTACCCAAAAAAGGGGGGTGCGGAACAGCCCCCACATAAAAAAGATTGGTGTGAGGGCTGGGACTGTAGCTCAGTCAGTTAAATGAAGTTGACAGAGTGCCTGCCTATTATGCATAAAATTTTGGGGTTGCTCCCCCAGCGCCCCATAAACTGGGTATGATGGTGCAGGCCTACAATCTCAGCATTAGGAAGACATGTGTCTCAATAAGTCAATGACTTTTTTTTTTTTTTTTTTTTGGCTTTTTGAGACAGGGTTTCTTTGTGTAGTTTTAGTGCCTGTCCTGGATCTTGCTCTGTAGACAGGTTGGCCTCGAACTCACAGAGATCACCCTGGCTCTGCCTCCCGAGTGCTGGGATTAAAGGCGTGCGCCACCACGGCCCGGCAATAAATGACTTTTTTAAGAGCAAAAAAGGTGCTAGTCTGGACAGCCAGACCTATTCTGAAAGGGAACCATCCGGCCACACCTAAAGAGTCACAGTGTCCCAGAAGGCTTGTGGATCGCAGACCCCCACCCCAGCTTTCACTTTGATAGCGTGGAATGCAGCCTCAGACGTTCCTTGCTGCCTGCTTGCACCACTATGCCAGGCTCAAAGTTCAAAAGACAGAGCAAGCAAACAAACCCCAAACACCCTTTTAATGGAATCTAAGCCAGGACCTCACACATGTTCAGCTACCAGTCTTCACACCCCAAGTCCAATCTGGAACATTCCTAACTGTGTATCACCTGCCGTTTCAAAAAAACACATCACTACTGCCTTCTTCCTAGAGATTCCAGTTAACTGATCTCAGGTGGACTTGACACTGATTCCAAAATCTCCCCCAGGTGACCCCGAAGTATAGTCCAGGCTGAGAACCTGTTTCTGTGTAAACATAGAGTGGGTGAATTCTGGGGAGCAACCTGCAAGGGCCTCCTTGCACAGGGATTGGCATGAAGTGAGGCCAAGGAAGCATGGTGGCCTGGAAAGAGACCTGAGGTCTGCCAACTGCCTTGTCCAGGCAGTGAGGGAGTTGGTGTACCTTCATTCTCACTTGGCATTTCAAGAGGGAATTCTGAGGGACGTTTTCAAAGCACTTTATTGAGTTTCTGTACCTGGGCACTGTCTTCACTGAGGCCACAGACCCTGCACGCTCCAGGCAACAAACACACAAGAGGAAAGAACTGGTCCTGGTGAGTTATGAGTTTGTATGCTCCCGGATCCAAGCCAGGTAGTTGGCTACGTCCGTGTAGACTCCGGGCTTGTTGCGGTCACCACAGCCAGAACCCCAGCTGATGACACCTCGCAGGGTGAGCTGGTGCTCTGCATCCCCTTCTTCACATACCAGAGGACCCCCGGAGTCACCCTGGGTGGGGGACAAGCAGCTTGTCACTCCTGTCCTGTGGTTGACAGGCAGGAGCAGAGTACCAGCCAGGACCCCAGGACTGACCTGGCAGGCGTCGGTGCCTCCCTCCATGAAGCCAGCGCAGAGCATTCCAGGCAGGATGGCGTCCCCATGCATGTCAGAGCTGGAGCAGCGCTCCTGGGAGATGAACGGCACCTGTGCCTCCTGCAGGAAGTTGGCATATTCATCGGCCCCTGCAATTCCAGGGACCTGAGCTTGCTGCATGGGCCAGGCTGCCAGGCAGTTCCACACCTACCCCGCCGTCACTCCCTCACAGCAAGCCTGAGTGGTAGGGACCTGCCAACAACAATTTCACAGGCAAGGAAACTGAGGCCCAGAGAGAAGCTGGGATTAGAATGAGGAGGAAAACACCCCCTTGCCCTCTCCCATGAAATGTCTCAGAACCTGGCTCCCAAAATAGTTGTCCCCATTGCTCCAACATGGGGACAATGTCCTAGTTAAGTCTTTGTAACTTGGAGCCCAGAGAGAACCAAGAGAAAGTTCGAGTCTCTCTGTAATCCTGTGGTGGGTCACTTTTTGTCAGCTCGATATCTGGGAAGCTCACTTGAGAAGATGTCTGTTTAAGATTGGCCTATGGAAATGTCTGGGGGCATTTCCTTGATTAATGGCTGATGTGACTCCCCTGAACAGGCGGGTCTGGACTGGATAAGAAAGTAAGCTGAGCTGGGCGATGGCGGCGCACGCCTTTAATCCCAACACTCGGGAAGCAGAGGCAGGCGGACCTACAGTGAGTTCTGGAACAGCCAGGGCAACACAGAGAAACCCTGTCTTGAAAAACTGAAAACAAAACAAAAAAAGAAGAAAGGTGAAGTTTTGGAGATGGCTCAAGAAGTTAGGAGCCCTGGCTGCTCTTGCAGAGGACCTTGGTTCAATTCCCAGCCCCACATGGTGACTCACAACCTATACTCCAGATCTGGCCTTCCCTATACCAGGCACACACATGATGCACATGTATAGATGTAGGCAGTTACACACGTGTATAAAATTAAAATAAATAAAATTTTTTAAAAAGAAAGCTGAGCATCCCGGAGGTGGTGGTTCATGCCTGTAATCCCAGCACTCGGGAGGCAGAGGCAGGTGGAGCTCTGTGAGTTCGAGCCCAGCCTAGTCTACATCACTAATTCTAGGGCAGTCAGGGATACACAAAGAAACTCTGTCTCGAAAAACAAAACAAACAAACAAGAAAGAAAGAAAGAAAGAAAGAAAGAAAGAAAGAAAGAAAGAAAGAAAGAAAGAAAGGCCGGGCGGTGGTGGCGCACGCCTTTAATCCCAACACTCGGGAGGCAGAGCCAGGCGGATCTCTGTGAGTTCGAGGCCAGCCTGGGCTACCAAGTGAGTCCCAGGAAAGGCGCAAAGCTACACAGAGAAACCCTGTCTCGAAAAACAAAACAAAACAAAACAAAAAAGAAAGAAAGAAAGAAAGAAAGAAAGAAAGAAAGAAAGAAAGAAAGAAAGAAAGAAAGAAAGAAAGAAAGAAAGAAAGAAAGAAAGAAAGAGAAAGAAAGAGAAAGAAAGAAAGAAAGAAAGCAAGCCGAGCAAGCCCCGGAGAGGAAGGCAGCAAGGACTGATTGTTCCTTCCAGCTTTCTACCTCCGTTCTGGCCTCCAAATTCCTGCCTTGCCCTCCCACTCCCCCATGGTGGACTGCAACCTTGAAAGCAACAAAGCCTTTCCTGCCCAAGCTGATTTTGGTCATGGTGTTTCTCGTCACAATAGAAAAGGAGAAACCCAAAGGGATGTGGGAACCTCGACAGCGAATTCTAGATTCTGGGAATGTCGTGTTACAGAGACAAGGCAAGGGCCCTGCACGGTTTTTTTTACAAAACTATCAGGTCGGCGAAACTTGTTCCCCAGGCTCATCGGAGGCTACCAAAAGTGCGCGCTTCAGATAGCCAAAAGTCTCTAGCCAGCTCCCAACAGTTGTGCCTACCCTCGAACTGGTGACCCCAGCCGGCCACCTCGCAGAGCACTGTCTCCGAGGGTGGGGCCGCGCCGATGGGCAAGCACACGGGCTGGATGTGAGGCGACATGATTGCGCAGCTGTTGTTTTCGTTTTCCTGCAGGCGCAGCAGAGCTACCAGGGGAGGGAAGGGTTAGGCGTCGACCTGGGGCCCCAGGCCTCCCCGTCCTTTCTCTTTATCCCTGCGGGGGCCACCTCACCCAAGTCATGCTGGTAGGTGATGGAGGAGAAGCCCTCGTGAAGGCGGTAGGAGCG